TTGTGATGTGATCTCAACTTTTACAGTGACTCCCTCAACAGGCTGGCTCTGTCTGACTGCCTATGTAGTATTTCTATCTCAGCTGATCTCACACGTGGGATCTAAAACACCAGAATACATTACAGCTGCTGGGGGCAAGGTGGAGAAGTGGGGGTGGGAAATACTGGGCAAAGGGGACAAAGCTTCCACGACACAGTGCAGCACAGCACTGTGGCCACAATAAATAATAATGATATGCCATATCATAGAAAATTGCTAAGAGATTTTAAATGCTGCCACCAAAAAAAAAAAAATTAAAAAATAAAAACGCAACTAAGGTGAAGGATATGTTAGTTTGATCTGACAATTCCATAGTCTATACAAATATCAAATGACTTATACCCCATAAATACATGAAAGTTCTTAAAAAATTAAAAATAATAAAAGTAAATAATAAACGTATTTTACTTTTAAAAAGTATTATTCCTAGAAGCATTACTATGAAACCACTTGCTATTGTACACGAGGATTCTTCTAGATACTACACAGCAAATAAAGCAGCAATTACTTATTCATAAACTATCAATAACAAGTTTAATTTAAAAAGGAAAACATTATTGTAAAAGAGAATTTATGATTGGAATACATTGTCCTCTGAAAGTGAAAACTCAAGATATTTCAAGGGAAAAACACACCTTCACTTTTTCATGTTTCCCTAAAAATGTCATTACCTCCCCCAAAGCAATTTTTTCTAACAGCTCATTCATTTCACCCTCAAACAGACACACAGCACATGCACCACAATGTTTCCTTAGGGTGTCAGACAATGTTACTGTGAGGCTTCCTGGCCAACTCAATTACAGGAGCCACTATGGCATTTGCCTTTGCTTCAACACTCTCCATGTCAGACAAAATGAAATTATGTAAGGTGAACTGGGTATGTTTGTGAACACCGGCCAACAATGACATTTCACTTTAATGTTAGACACTCATGTTCTTCTGCTCATGAGACATAGAATATCAATGATTTGTTCCTTTACTCTGCCCAATTATAAATACAGAAGGATGTTTTACACATGAGCATAAAATCAGAGCTTCCTGAAAGTATTCAAACAAGATGAGATTAAAATAAATGCATTTACAGCCTGCCACTGAGTGATTCTGATACCTAAGAACTGAATGTAAGAAATCTGAACATCAAGATTTAAAACAGTTCACAAATACAGCTGGTTTTGAAAGCTATAAAAACACATATAAATCCTCTTAAAATTTTGATTATAACATAACATAAACAACCAACAATTCCAAATTAAATGCTTTTCCTGTATGTTCTATCATTCTTCATCCTTTTCATTCCTAAAGCAAAGATGTTAAGAGACAAAGGGGGGGGGGGACAAAAATTCAACTCAAATACCTGTAGTTTACAAAGTTAAATTTTCAAGTAACTTTATTAACCCGTATCCCTATTTTATAAAACTTGTTTTTCAAAGAGTTAAGTTAGTTAATAGTTACTCGAAGCCTTCATATTTAAGTGGATGCCACTTGAAGACACACTCATAAGTGAAATAAAGCAGACCCACATGTGTAAATATCGTACAGTATCCTAGTGTAAAAACTCAAAAGAAAAAATGAAAAGAGGAAGGTATAACACAAGAGGAAAGCGAGAACTTAAGGATTAGACAACGAAGAGAGGGCAAGGAAAAAAGCTAAGAAACATGACAGGGCAAAGCCATACATTTATATATACAAGATGGTTAAGGCAAGGATCCTGAGAATCTTCAGCAATTTTTGAAACTAGCAGTTGCTTGGCAGGATTCTCACCCTGACTAACTATATATGCTGATACCTGTGAACTAAGCAAATGCACTGGAGATAGCAATGTGTAATACTAGGGTCATGCTTGGAATGCCTGTCATTCTGGTCTTCTAAATATGTACTGCTTGTCATGTCATACCAATTACTGCTATACTGTCAAGTAAATTTTTGTTAAAAAAAGGGTAATAAATGAAAACAAGAGACAAGAAAAAAATATAGTTACAAACCTATTATTTATCATTTTTTAATGATAGTGGATCACAGCATTATATTTCAAAGACAAATTATAATACCATAATACATAAATTTATGTTTGAACAGTATAACTATAAATTTAAAGTTTGAACAGTATAACTATAATTTTACAATTGTCATGCTATTAAACATCAACAGGTTAATAAAACAACTGCTCTTCAATTTTTCACCTAAGTTGTTATGGTAACCAAAATATGTGGGATATGTTTCCTAAATTTGACTGATTATTTCAAGTAAATAAAATTATATCAGCTTATTAACTACACATAACATTATTATTACAAACCTATATTTATCATTTTTAAATGCCAATGGATCACAGCATTATATTTAACTAGGTCTTTACACATGTTTTATACTGGGATTCACATAAAAAAAATAGCAAGGGTGTATCTTTTCTAATTTGGGGCATTATCTTGATTCAACAACAAAACAAAAAAGGAATTACTCTATTTTCTGAACAACATACTATGACAAAGAACTATAAAATTAGAAGACTGCAGCACTGTGTGGGAAATGCAAACCACATCCTTCGCAACACAAGCTGGAGCCTGTTGATGCCCCACACAACCATCTCCTAGAGTCCCACCTGTGTGCAAAGCCAGGGTCCCCTAGGGCTCATCTTCTCCAGCCCCAGTTTAAAGTGCTACGTCAACACCCCTCCCACCTCCACTCACCGCACAGGTCACCTAGCTGCAAAGGAAATTATTCTCCCCTAAATTCTTATTTTAAAGCTCCAATATAAACACATTTGGAGACAGAGGCTATAAGGAGGTAATTAAGGTTAAATGAGGTCATAAATATTGGGCCCTGATCCAGTGCCGTTAGTAGGGACCCCAGAGAGTTATACTTCTCCCTACTGCCTCTTTTTATTGTCTGCCTTCCCGTACTGCAGAATAACCTTTAAGAAGAGTGGATTTCTGACTATTTAGTTCACATCAGCTACCACACCTACAACACGATACAACAGGAGAATAAATATTTACTAAAGGCATAAAATATACGTTTAAAATATCTTAAACTATACATACACTATAGCAAGACACAACATATTTCTGTGATGATATTCAAATACTCCAATAAAGACATAATCTTTCAGTAAGTTAAATTAAAAAATCAAAATTGTCAAAATTTGTGTTCTCACCATAGAGCCACAGAATCTTGCTTTCTTGTTTCCCTATGAATATGATCCAAATATGTCCTTTTCTCACCAACTAAATGTGAAAACATCTACTCTAGCTCTTCTGTCCTGGAACTTGTTCTCCACTCAGTCCCTAAATGAATTCAACCATTCTAATTTCTTCGCCAACACCTTTTTAGCATAACGTGGCATCAGGTCTGGCCTTTGTCTGTCTGTGTGCTGGTGCTATACTGTATTCCTAACTACTTTTAAAGAATACAGCATTTAAGCCACACCACCAGAAACAAGTTTTAGGGAGAATATAACATTGTACTCATTTGAGTAGAAAAAAAATCCTAAACAAAATATAATTTTAAAATGTATTTAGTTACGTATAGTCACTAACTCCATACACTGCCTGAGAAATTGCTTTCTTCCATCATAGAAATTAGACCTGTGGCAGGAGGGAATTACAATCTTTGAGTTATGACTGTGTATTCTAATTAACAGTATACCCTTCCTCTAATTATCAATTTCATTTCAACCACTGAATTATTCCCAATATTGTAGTAGAGTTTTATTGCTTTCAAATTGAATTTAATCACTTGGGGGGAAACACAAGAAATTTATCTCACATTTTCAAATTCAGTTTCTGAACTGGAATAGTTTATTTTTAGAAGAAAACTAACTTCCATGTTTTTCTTCACCGGTGGTTCCCAAATAACACTTGTTTCTCCAACCATTGTTCTTTATACTCACTGGTCAACTCATTATTATAAAAACAAAAAATTTCTAATGCACATTTTTTAACTTCTCTGAAGATTTTCAGTAATTTCATGAAATAACTCAGAATTTAGAAAAGGCTTTATATCGAAGTTGGTTAGTAAAATTCATTATTATGCTTTAATAAATTATCTAATTTTAAGTTTTCATTAAGCAAAAATAAAAACAAAGAAATGACCAAGAGAAATCATGGTTTGCCATGGCTTCAGAGGTAAGCGCAGGCCTGAGAAGGAATGCTAACCACCCCGGGTCTTGGGGAGCAGCACTGCAGCGGCTCTTGGAGTCAGTGACACCCACACCGCAGTGAGACACACACGTTGTGAGGCCTACGCTGCCCTTGGTAAGCTGAGTAATCACTGCACACTAAAGTAGGCAAGCTTACTGCTGTTTCTTTCTCAAATATTTTTTTCTTCAAGTTCAGATTATAAATGGAATTGGTTTGGGGTAAGCTTAGCTACAGACTGATGCTGTGACCCTCCAGATTTGGATGTGATGGTGAGTGAGGGTGAGGCCTCACAAAAGTGCCTGGAATAGTAGGGACAGTGGAGCCCTGGAAACGGATTAGAGTCCCCTTGGCCCTTCCAGCTTGTGAGGTTACTACAGAAGTGAGGCATTCACAAGCCAGAAAATAGGCCTTCACCACACTTTTTCCCTAAGAAAAAAACTGAAATTAATGGCCATTTGAGTCCCAAATTTCAACTCATTATTTGGATTTTTTTTTTTAACAAAAAGATTACATCACTGAGGAAAAAATAAATTTTTATCAATAAATTAAAAATAACAATATGTCCTGTTTTAAACTTTTACTGATTGAGTTAAAGTTAAATCTTCACCATTAGAAAAAGTCAACTGTACAAAGCAACTTATGTTTTAAGATATGAGAGCAAGCAGGATTTCATTTCTTTAGACTAGTCCTTGGAAAACTGATATTCTATAATTATAATAATAAAAATAGCTGACATGTTACAACTCTTGTCCTATGCAAAAGAAAGAATAGTAGTAAATGATACAGTGAAATAACTCCTTGCCTTGTACAATGTTAGCTCACCTGTGGTATAAGTCTGTCCAAGTGCTCAGCTCGGTTTCCATGAGAAGGGTGTGTAGACAACCACTCTGGCAGCTTGGGGTGACCCTGGAGGACATCTGCAAACTCCATTTGCTGCCAAAACACTGAACTGGCTCGTACATCCACACAAGCCTAAAACACAAATTAATAAAAGCACACACAGTAAGCTTGTTCTGAGAACATTTTAAAACATCACATGTTACTACATCTGTTTTTTTCAAAGGAGGAAGACAGATGTTTTATTGGAAATAAGGAGAATACTCCTAGATTTCCAAGAGGGGTTACAAGTGGGGTTACCCACCACCACATATTTTTAAAACATTTACCATCACTATTTTAGTAAAAGTAGAATAGGTGCATAGTAACAACAAGAAAAAAACAATATGGTATCATAGAAATAAAAGACTACCACCCTCCTGCATTATTTCTGTCCCCACTTAACATTCATAGTAATCCCATCCCTGAATATAACCTACTATGCTCAGCATAAAATTAAAACTTTCAAGTTTTTAAACAGAGTTATTAAATTAGACTAAACAGGAGCCGGGGAGATGGCTCAGTAGAATAAGCACTTCCCTGGCAAGCGCAAGGGTCTGAGTTCAATCCCTGGTTCTGCCAAATACATAAATAAATAAATTTGACTAAAGAAATTTTACTTCAAATCTATAACCCGCTAGAACAACTAGAAGACTTCAAATAAAAATGAGGCAAAAAGCAGATTATTTTGTAATAGACATCAAATTATCTCCTTTTTCTCAGTGTATGTGATTATATATATATATATATATATATATATATATATATATATATATATGCCATTGAAAATATCCCATACATTTGACCCAGGTCCGGCATGTAAGTGAGACTGCCCAGGCCCACTGGATCCTCATTTGACCCAGACTCCAGGCCAGGCATGTCAGTATGATCTTCCAGGCCCGCCAGATCCTGATTCAACCCAGAGCCCAGGCCCGGAGTGTGAGTTAGAGGACCCAGGGCTCACAGGATCCTCATCCGACCCAGAGCCCAGGCTCAGCGTGGAACCTGCAGCAGAACTCCCTGCAAAGAGGCTAGACACAAGACCACCCAGCTGATTCAGGAGCAGAGCATCTTGCCAGAGTGGCACAGAGGGTTCAACTCCAAGGGCTGCAGCAGAATGTGGAGCACAGCAACCAGACCCAAGACACACCCACTTGGATGAGTTTGAAGTTGGTATATCTGGACCTGATGCTAAAGTAGTAACTCTATTGAAGCTCTACACCAACAGTCAGAAGAGAGTGATACACAAAATGACAAAGAGAAGGAGCAAAATTCATTCTCAGGCCCCGAGCCCACCCAGAACAAATGCAGATGACACTAGCATAGAAGAAATTGGAAATCACACACCTGAAATCTCTGAAATAATAGTGTCGGAAGTAAAGAAACAACTGCAGAAAAGGAATAGAGGAAATCAGATCAGAAATAATTTCTGAAGTAAAAAAAAAAATAACAATAAAGAAAGAAGTACTAAGTGCTCTTAAAGAAGACACTGATAACAAAAATAGAGCAGAATATAAAAATGATGGAATCCTTGAATAAGCAATATAGGAAAGAAATAGAATGCATGAAGGGGATCCAAAGTGATATACAGGAATTTAAAACCTCAATCACAAGCTGGCAAAAATCATTTGAATGAAAGTGAAAATACACTTTTAGGCCTTAAAGACACCATAGAAGCTAGTGAAAAAGTAAGAAAAGATCTCTTAAAAACAACTAGGATGCAGGAAAAAATAATTAAACACCTGCAAGACAATGTAAAGATGAACAACGTGAGACTAATAGGCATCAATGAGAAAGGAGTCAATACAAATGATATAAAAAGAATATGGGCAGAAGTAATAGCAGAAAATTTCCCAAATATGGGGAAACAATCTGACATTCAAGTAATCGAAGCATATAGAACTCCAAATAACATCAATCCAATTAAAAACACACCCACACATATGATAATCAAGATCCGAGAAAGTCGGCACAAGAACAGTATACTAAAAGCCACCAGAGAAAAGAAACAGATCACATTTAAAGGAAAGCCCATCAGAATAATGGCAGATTTCTCTTCACAAACCATCAAGGCAAGAATAGCATGGAGTAAAGTAATACAAATCTTGCAAGAAAACAAATTCCAACTCAGACTGATACATTTCAAGTATAATGGAGAAGTGAAACATTTCCATAACAAAGAACTAAAGAATTTCATGATGACAAGGCCAAGCTTACACAGACTACTAAAAGATGTTCTAGAGAGGGAGCAAAATGACAATTTCATGAATGAGAATGGAAAGAACCCACCAAATAGGGCAAACAATTAAACACAGGAGAATAAGAGGTATAAAGAGCACTCTTTCAGTTATTCCTTTGTATACAGCAGCAAAATATTTCCATAAGCATATTCTACAAATGGACTTCTCCTGTACCCTATGGGTCATGATTCTATCTGGGTCTACAGGGTGGATATCAAGGAAATAGTAGCTCAGTCCCACAAGGGACACTTGACCACCAGTAAGCATCATGGACACTATCCATGTCCACAACACTTAGAACTTTGTGTGATATCCTACCCCCAAACTGTTAGAAGTGCTGGTCATTTATTTGCCATTCCAATATTTATCTTATTTTATTCTTAGTAATTCTTTACTATCATGAAAACTTTTTCTTAGTTCAATTGTTTTGAAACATTTAATTTTAATTAATTAATACTGAATTTTCTGAATATTGCTTAATCTTAATTTTAATTTTAAGATTTATACTGTATCTCTGACTTATAATCTATGTAAAAGATATAGTATGATAATTTCTAGTATTAGAAACTTTAAAAAGTATATTTCCATTGACTTTATATTATTTCTTCCTTGTCTCTTACACACACACATACACACACACCCAAAAAAAAATGTGTATAACCCGACATAAGACTGATACTGTTTCATAGAAATCTTTAATGACCTTTTAAATAGGTTCATCTAATATATTTTACATAGTCCTGCATAACTATCATTTGAGAGCACTTTATTCTTTATCCAAGACCATAAAGCAACTACTCTTGTCTTCTGAATTATGCTCTTTGATTTCCTATATGCTACATCTGGAGGTATTAAAATATTTTGAGTTTGTGTAACTGGAAAATACCTTACTTTTAGTTTTCAAAGGTATGTTTGCTAAGTATAAAATTCAAACAGGACAGATCATTTTTTTCTTTCAGTCTTTAATTAGTCCGGGTTTGTTTTTTTTTCTCTGAATGCCTTCAGGACAGGTTTGGCTGGCTGGAGGTGTAGGGATCGAACCACAGCAACCTGAGCCTGACTGCTTTGTCGAAGCAGCCACTTAAAGAACTGAGCTAGGGGGCAGGCCCCCAGTCCGGTTTCTTATACACTTGCTTTTTTTTTTTCTTTCTAATGTAGAATAAATTGCTATTTAATTTTGTTCTTCCATGGCTAATTTTTTTATGTATATGCTTTAATGATTTTTTTTCTTTACAATAAGTTTTGAACAATTTCATTTTTGTGTATCTTGGTATGATTTTATTCAAATTTCTTGAGCAAAAGGTTCATTTTTTCTTGGAAATGTGGTGTTATAAGTTCAACTAAATTCAGAAATTTTAAATCTTGAAATTTTTTTGCCTACCATTTCTACTTTGAGAATTCTAACTATGAGTGGAAGTTTCTTTATTTTGACAGAGTGAACTATTATGACTGATCTGTAAATTCTTTCTTTTTCATTTTTACTTTTGATAATTTTATTATTATATTCATTTAAGCTTGTAAATAATATATTTACAATGTTCAATCTATTATTAATCTCATGCTATACATTCATTTCAGAAATATTTCTCTAAAATTCACTGTCTACATCTTATATCTTTCACATTTCAATATTTGTCTACAATTTTTAATATGATATGTAATTGTTGATGTTCAATAAAGTTAATGAAAAAAATTTTAAAAATCCCATAGATGTTTGTTGTAGAAAATTTCTGAAAGACTACTTGAGAAATTATTAAGTAGTTACTGCAAGAAGGTATATAAGATATCTGATGGTAGGAAACAATAGGTCCTCTACTTCTGAATTACATTAAAATATTTGCAAAAAATTATTTTTAAATTCTTTATGAAGGGGCTTAATAAGTTATTTATAGGTCTATTCAACTTCTTCATGTTTCTTAACTTACTCTTTCTACAAGAAATGTTAGGAAAGCAGGTGATTGTAATCATTTTACTTTGGATCACATTTTGCTATCAAAAAGTTTTAAAATAGTATGACCCTGACATCCAAAAAGGCAAATATAGGGCCGGGGAAATGGCTCAGTGGAATAAATGCTTCCCTGGCAAGCGCAAGGGCCTGAGTTCAATTGTTCCGGGGCAAAAAAAAAAAAAAAAGGCAAATATAAAACATCACATACTATTCACTGTAAATAACATCTGACTGTTTATCAAACAAAAATATTTTCAGGAGGGCCAGGGATACTGCTCAGTAGGACAGTACCTGCCTGGCAAGTATAAGGCCCTGAGTTCAATTCCCCCTCAAAAGTATATATTTTCAATGCTTCAAAAAAGAAGAAAAAAATTTGAAATTCCATTAAATTTTATTTAATATTCAAAGTAATATAATTCTTTAAGATTTCTGACTGTTCTGTAAAAGATTCATAGAACTTTAAAATCCTACTGGACAGATATGTATGTGTAGATAAACAGGAATAAAGAGATAAATGCACCTATCAAACACATATAACCCATGTTCTTCATATACATACACATATTTCTATATGTGTAAAATATGTATAACATATAATATAGGTTATGTATGTACATATATATATATATATATATATATATAGAGAGAGAGAGAGAGAGAGAGAGAGAGATTCACATAGGGATAATTAGTAATCATGGCTAAATTCCAAATACAGTAATATTTCCCTAAATATTGAGAGATAACCAGGTCACCACATTCACAACACAAATAAAAGCTGAGACAAGAAAGGTAATCTACAACAATGAATAAAGATATATAATGACTTAAAAGAATTCCAGCTGAAATTCTACCAGTTTTAAAAGTATGGTTTGCTGGGCATGGGGTACACACCTATAACCCCAGCACTG